TACTTTCACCAAACAAATCCAAAGAGTCAAAGACAAACCAAAAAAATATATATATGATTAGTTCAAATTTCTCCCGTCAACCCATTCCTTGCATTTACACATAAATATAACTACCCCCGCCCTTGAGCTAAGAATTTATAAGTAAAACCTTGATTAATTAAATTAATTCATAGTGTTAAATTAATAATTACCGTGATTAGTTGAGTGTAAAAATGTAAATAATGAAATCTATATAAAGGAAGCGTATATGGTCAGATAGAACAAACACAGGCAAAGAAAATGGGGTCTTCAAAGGCCTTAGTGTTTTCCACTTATCTTTTAGTGGTAGCACTCTCTCTTACATTTCCTTCACAATGCACTGCCAACTTCCACCATTACTCCTCCCCACCACCTCCCTACAAGTATAAATCTCCGCCACCTCCTCCCCCGGTTTACTCGCCTCCACCTCCTCCTCCTGTTTATTCTCCTCCGCCACCAGTTTACTCACCACCGCCCCCTCCACCGGTTTACTCATCACCACCACCTCCTCCATACCACTACAAGTCACCACCACCACCTCCTAAGAAATATCCAGCACCTAATCATCCTCCCTATCACTATAAATCGCCACCACCACCACCCAAGAAACCCTACAAGTACCATTCTCCTCCACCTCCTGTCTACAAATCTCCTCCTCCTCCTGTTTACAAGTCTCCTCCTCCTCCCCCTCCAAAGAAGCCCTACAAGTACAAGTCTCCTCCCCCTCCTACCCCAGTTTATAAGTACAAGTCTCCTCCTCCACCTCCAAAGAAGCCTTACAAGTACAAGTCTCCTCCTCCCCCTCCTCCCGTTTACAAGTACAAGTCTCCACCACCACCAGTTCACCACGACTCCTATTCATCTCCCCCTCCTCCTTACCATTACTAAGGTAAACTTCCATTTCATATGCATATCTATGTTATATGTCCCCTTGTGTACAATACACAAGCTAACTAGCTAGCTACTGTAACTATCATAATGATGAGTGTAATAACATGAAAAATAAAGTACCTAGTGTTGTAATTAACTAATATTTCTTTTGTTAATATTATATATATATATATTTAAACAACGTAAGTGATGGAATGATATGTTTGCATGCAGGACAAAAGAGA